AGAGGCCCTCCAGAGGCACCCAAGACGCTCCGAGGGGCCTCGGCGAGACTGCCAAAATCAGTGATTTTACTAAGGTTTTGGGCGCCCTCGGTGGTGACAGGGACAGCCAGCAGGGACTTCTGGGGGCGTGACCTGAGACGGAGGGGTAACTCCTCCTCCTCCTCGACCCTTCCTCCCCCTCGCCCCTTCCTCCTCCACAACCCTCCCTCCCTCCCCTCCCTCCCTCCCCTCACTCTCATCCTTCTCCCTCCTCCATCATCCCTCCTCCCTTCCCCCTCCTCAATCCTCTCTCCTCCCCTCTTCTCCTTCTCCTCGTCCTCTTCCTCCGTCTCCTCCCCCCCCTCCCTCTTTCTCCCCCACCCCCCTCCCCATCCCCGCTCCCTCTCCTCGCGAGCTCCCTCTCGTCGTCGTCATCCATCATTGAGCAGGGACCGACCGTCCCGGCACTCCTATAGTCCTACCACGACATGTTCTTAGAACCCCAAAATATTCGAACAACAAACACAACATTCTTAGAACATGGCCCCGACGCGCTAAAACAGGACAGACTCCGCCAGAAATGTTCTGAGAACATCTCGTGGAAACCACAAGAGGTTCTTAGAACATTGATTGGTGGGGCTCTACAGGGCCAGGATGCGTCCTGGCTCCATAGGGCCCTGTCTCGGCTCGGCGATGCGGCTCGCCCATAGAGCTGGCTCGCCTATAGGCTCGCCTATCGCCGCTGCTTGACGGCACCCTCCCCACAAGATGACCGCGGGCACCCGGCGCGAGTCGGCCCGCCGGGCCGCCACGGCCGGCGCGCGGCCGGCGCTGGCCTCGCCGTGGTGGCCGCCGTGGTGGCCCTGCCCCTGGGTGCTCATGGCCTGCACGACCTCTTTCGCGTCCTCCCGCCGCGGAGCGGGGGGGGGTCCTCCTCCTCCTCCTTCTCCTCCCTCCTCCATCCTCCTCCTCCTCCTCCGCCTCCTCCTCTTCCTCCTCCTCCTCCTCCTCCTTTTCTCTCCTCCTCCCCCCCCCTCCCCCTCCTCCTCCCCCCCTCCTCCTCCTCCTCTCCCCTCCCCTCCCCCTCCCCGTCCCCGTTCCCCGTCCCGTCCCGTCCCCGTTTCCCCGTCCCGTCCTGTCCCCCTCCCCCTCCCCCCTCCCCCTCCCCTCTCCCCTCCTCCTCCTCCTCCTCCTCTCCTCCTCTCCTCCTCCTCCTCCTCCTCCTCCTTCTCGTCCGCCTTCGCCTCTTCTCCCTGTTCCTCCTCCTGCTCCTCTTCCTCTTCCGCCTCCTCTTCCTGTTGTTCTGCTTAATATTACGTCTCATCTGAGTTTGTTTGGTATGTTGCTGTTCATTGTTTTGGCTCTATCATAATTCTCTTAGCAATAGGAATTGACTCCTCCTGGTTGCAATTATTATTGACATTACAAATACTATTACGAATCCTGTTATGACCATTGTTAGTATTAGCATTCGTTCTATCACACATAATACCAGAATCGTTCTTATCCGTCTTAAGCGTATTATGCGAATCAGCATCGTCCTCCTCCTCCTCCTCCTCCTCCTCATCATCATCACCATCACCATCACCATCATCATCATCATCATCATCATCATCATCATCATCATCATCATCATCAGCATCACCATCAGCATCATCATCATCACCATCATCGTCATTATCGTTATTATTCGTATTGATAGTATGCATGTGGGAATTTGTTGTATTAGTACTGGCATCAACATTAGCCTTGCCACTTCTCTTGTTCGCATGATCATTACTTTTCGCATTACGATTACTGGTATGGTTAGTGCTCGGTGTTGTAATGTTGCCCGCATAAATGCTCTTCGCACCAATCGTATGTAGATTAATATCAGCATGGTTGGTTATATTGTTATTACGGTCAGCTATGTTTATTCATATAAGTGTTTCCCTATGTCTCGCCACCTCCTCCTCCTCCTCGTCTGCTTCCTCCTCCTCCTCCTCCTTCCCGTCCTCCTCCTCCTCTTACTCCTCCTCCTCTTGGTCCTCCTCCTCGTCCTCCTCGTCCGTCTCATCCTCCTCCTCGTCCTCCTCTTCCTCGTCCTCGTTCTCCTCGTCCTCGTCGTCCTCCTCTTTTTCGTCGTCCTCGTCGTCCTCGTCGTTTTCGTCGTCTTCGTCGTCTTCGTCGTCCTCGTAGTCCTCGTCGTCTTTGTCCTCGTCGCCCTCGTCGTCTTCGTCGTCCTCGTCGCCCTCGTCGTCCTCGTTGTCCTCGCTCTCGTCGTCCCACTTTTCCTCCTCCTCCTCCTCTCCTCCTCCTCCTCCTCCTCCTCCCCTCCCCTTCGCACCCTCCCCCTCCCCCCCCCCCCCTCCCCCTCCCCATGCTCCTCCTCCTCCTCCTCCTCCTCCTCCTCCTGCTCCTGCTCCTCCTGGTCCAGTGAGCACTGGTTCGCTGTAGGCATTGAAAGCACTGTGTACTGCTTTGCGCTCGATGGCTGTGAGATGGCCAATTCCCTGGTGTCCAGGGGAGGTCGATATCGTTGCTTTCCATCCATCACATAGAACCCCAAAGCCCACTCCCCCGAGTAAAAGCTTGCCAGTCGAACTGGCTGGCCGATGTTGAATCAATATGTACTGATGTTGGTGCCGAGGGGCTGGCTCAGGCAATGCTGGCTGGCCAAAGTTATTGCACTGTAGCAGCTGGGGAGTAGCGGATGGCAGAGTCAATGTGTACTCGGCCACTTGGCCAGAGAGCGTAGCAGATGGGTCAAAGTGCTGGCGAAATGAAGGGGCTGGCGTGAATGAACAAACCGCGTACACGATGCTGACCTGCTGAGAGGGCGTGCTGCTTTCTATAAATTACTATGGTCGGTAGTCCACCGTGGGACTGTGCAAAAGGCACTCCCCTACCGAGGTGCCCAAATAGCAAATCACTGTGACCCATGAATGAGCAGCTGCGAGTGGCGGCTCGCGGAGATTACCTGTATTGAAAGAAATGGAAGCGTGTGTGAACAAGAGCCTGAGAGTCCACACACCCCGCCAATATCCTTAATAGTCCCCAGTCTGCTAGTGAACCGTGTAGGAGAAGAAAAGCATGTAATGTAAGTAGTGGGCCCAAACAAGATAGAGACAAGGGAGAGAAAGCCGAACCGGGGTGTGCAAACACTGGAGAGGATTAGGTGAGGGAGCAGGAAGTCATAGGAAGTCTTTCAGTACTCGATGTTCTGGCGGCCACTGTCGAACGAGCAATTGCTGTCGTGAGAGATGTGACATCGGATACCTCTTGAGTCTTTTCTTAGACCCCATTATAATACCAGCAATGTTGCCGTAGGTATGTCGAACAAGGTTTGGCTTGGATGTTGGTGGTGCTTTGTGCGGTGCTGTGGTCTCGCCGTGGTGGTGGGTCTACTGGGGCCCTCCCTTCTCCTCCTCCTCCTCGTCCTCCTCCTCCTTTCTCCTCCTCCTCCTCCTCCTCCTCCTCTTCCTCCTCCTGGTTCCTGGTGACTGGAGAGAACGTCGTTCGTAGCCTCCCCCCCCAGGGCTGGTTTGATCAAACTAGAGCCAGGTGGCCCTTGGAGCACCGCTCCAGGGGAGACCGGTTGCGCACGCATAACCCTCCTCCTCCTCCTCCTCCTCCTCCTCCGCCTCCTCGTCCTCCTCCTCCTCCTCCTCCTCCTCCTCCTCCTCCTCCTCCTCCGCCTCCTCGTCCTCCGCCTCCGCCTCCTCGTCCTCGTCCTCCCTCCCTCCCTCCATCGAGGGTGGGGCAACGGGCGCGGAGGGAAGGCCGCAGGCCGGCGCGTCTCCTCGATCACGTCGTCCGACCACGACGTCTGCGGCGACGGGGCGTCAGCCCCCGTCGCCGACCCTGCGCTGTGGGGCGCCTGCTCAGGCACCTCCTCGGCAGAGAGAGGCATATAATAAGAAAACGAGAGAAGGAGAGAGGGAGAGAGAGAGAGAGAGCGAGGGAGAGGAAGAGGGAGAGAGAAGGAGGAGGAGGAAGAGGAGGAGGAGGAGGAGGAGGAGGAGGAGGAGGAGCGAGGAGGAGAGAAGGAGGAGGAGGAGGAGGAGGACGAGAAGGAGGAGGAGGAGGAGGAGGGAGGAGGAGGAGGAACAGAGGAGAGGAGGAGGAACAGAGGAGGAGGAAACAGGAGGAGGAACAGAGGAGGAGGAGGAGGAGGAGGGAGCGAGGAGGAGGAGGAGGAGGAGGAGTGGAGGAGGATGGGGGGGAGGGGAAGGGGGAAGGGGGAGGGGGAGGAGGAGGAGGAGGAGAGGAGGAGGAGGAGGAGGAGGAGGAGGAGGAGGAGGAGGCGAGGGACGAGGACGAGAGGAGGAGGAGGAGGAGGAGGAGGAGGGGAGAGGAGGGGGAGGGGAGGGGGGAGGGAGGAGAGGAGGAGGAGGAGGAGGAGGAGGAGGAGGAGGATGGGGGGGAGGGGGAGGGGGAAGGGGAGGGGGGGGAGAGGAGGAGGAGGAGGAGGAGGAGGAGGAGGAGGAGGAGGAGGAGGAGGAGGAGGAGCGGTGTCTGGGTTTCGGACTCTGTCGCTCGGCTCGGCGGCGTTCGTGTCGTGGTCGGCTGTCTCCTTGTCTTGTGCTGTCGCCCTTGCTGTCCTCGTTCGCTGCGTTCGCGTTCGTGTGGCTCCGCTTCTCTTCTTCCTCCCTGCTGGCTGCCGCCCTGGCGTCCTCGCACTGGCTCCTTCTAGGCGTTGGGCCCCTCCCCTCGGCTAGCCTCCTGCCGCATTCTTTTCGGCTTGCGCTCTTCGGGAGCTGGGGTTCGCCCCCCTTCCCCTCCTGGCCCAGGCCTCCGCCGCCCCGGCCCTCGGCCCCCGACCGGCCAGCCGCTGCGCGGCGGCCCGCGTATGCAAAAAAGAAAGAGGCGGAGGAAGAGGAGGAGGAGGAGGAGGGGGAGGAACAGAGGAGGAGGAGGAGGAGGAGGAGGAGGAGGAGGAGGAGGAACAGAGGAGGAGGAGGAGGAGGAGAGGAGGAGGGGGGATGAGGAGGAGTGAGGGAGGAGGAGAGGAGAGGAGAGGAGGAGAAGGAGGAAGAAGAGCAGGGAGGGAAGGAGGAACAGAGGGCAGGAGGAGGAGGAGGAGGAGGAGGAGGAGGAGGAGAAAGAGGCGGAGGCGGAGGAGGAGGATGAGGAGGAGGAGGAGGAGGAGGAGGAGGAGACGGGGGGGGGGTAGGAGGGTTGAGAGAGGAGGGAGGGCGAGGGGAAGGAGGAGGAGGAGGAGGAGGAGGAGGAGGAGGAGGAGAGGCGTGAGAGAGGGGGAGGGCGAGGGGAAGGAGGAGGAGGAGGAGAGGAGGAGGAGGATGAGGAGGAGGGAGGAGGAGGGGGAGGGAGAGGAGAAAGAGGAGGAGGAGGAGGGAAGAGGAGGAGGAGCAGCGGAGGAGAAGGAGGAGGAGGAGGAGGAGGAGGCGGAGGCCGAGGCGTGAGTCGGGAGGAGGTGGAGGAGGAGGCGGAGGAGGGGCGGAGGTGGAGGAGGAGGAGGGAGTGGGGGGAGGAGGAGGAGGTGGAGGAGGAGGCTGGAGGAGGAGGAGGAGGAGGAGGAGGAGGAGGAGGAAGGAACCAGGAGGTGGAACAGAGGGAGGAGGGAAGGAGTGAGGAGGAGGAGGAAGGAGGAGGGGAGGGAGGCGGAGGCCGAGGCGGAGGCGGAGGAGGAGGAGGAGGAGGAGGAGGAGAGGAGGAGGAGGAGGAGGGGGAGGAGGGGTGAGGAGGCAGGGAGGAGGAGGAGGAGAAGGAGGAGGAGGAGGAGGGAGGAACACAGGAGGAGAAAACAGAGAGGAGGAGGAGGAGGAGGAGGTAGGAGAAGAGAGGTGGAGGAAGAGGTAGGAGGAGGAGGAGCAGGAGGAGGGGGAGGAGGAGGAGGAGGAGTGAGGTAGGAGGAGGCGGAGGAGGAGGTGGAGGAGGAGGCGGAGGAAGAGGAGGGTGGGGGGAGGAGGGCAGAGAGGAGGGGAGGGCGAGGGGAAGGAGGAGGAGGAGGAGGAGGAGGAGGAGGAGGAGGAGGCCCGCTCGTCAGAGCCGCCCGCCCGTCTGGCCCCCGGCAGAGCGAGCCCCTGGCAAAGAGGGCCTTGGCAAGGAGGGATTTCCTGGCCAAGATGGGCCCGCCAGGGAGGGCCCCCGCGAGTGAGAGCCCCAGCGAAGAGGGCCGCAGCGAAGGGGGATCCTGGCCAAGAGGGGCCCATTAAAGAGGGCCCAAGCGAAGGGAGCCCGGCGAAGGGGGCCGCAGCGCAGATGGGCTCGGGCGAAGACGGCCAATGCCGCACCACCATCGCCACCCCTGGCTGTGGCCATCCTGGCCACAAAGATGAAAGGCCTCCTAGATGGGGACCGAGTGGATGGGGTCGAAGGATCGCGCCGCACTGCCACTGCATCGGCGATGCATCGGCGATGCGTCGGCAACTTCGGCGATGAATCGGCGACGTCGCCGTGAGGAAGCACGGGCTCCACATCGAGCCGCATCGGCGATGTGTCGCCCATGCGGCGCGATCCTCCGACCCCATCTACTCCGACCCAATATAGGAGGCCTAGAAAGATGCTGTATGCACAGACCGTCTTGGTCGAGGCCAGGTGGCTGTGCGCACCATCACGGGGCCCAGGGCTGCCCGGGCCAGAGTGCAGAGAACCTTAACGATTTTGCCGAGATCCTTTCCGCTCTCCGCGGGCTCCATGCACGCCCTTCGGGTAACGGAAACCCTCCGTCGCAAAGAGCCCGCGCGAACGACAGAACCCACCCAAGGCTACCGCCACTCCAAGCTGTGTGAACAGTGCAACCCCTGCCGGAGCGGCCCACGCCACGCTGGGCCGTGCTCCTACCGACGCCTGCTCCCCTGCAGTCGGCCGTGGAACTGCGTGCTCGTGCCGGCATGCCCTGGCACAAACACCGAGAATGCCTTCCACACGCCCACGTGCGCGACGATCAAAAACAAGGGTCTCACGCGAGATGGCATGGCGACCTTCCGCGGTGGCTTTTACGCAGGCCGCCAGCGCGGCACGCTGCGGGTGCCTACGCGCGACCTTGCGCGGGCAGCCGCCGCGCCAATGTCGGCGCAGTCGACCGCGTGTTCTCTTGCGCCGCTCGCGCGGCACGCGTCCGCCGCGCCCTGGCCTCGCGGAGCGCGCGCGGAGAGCTGCCGCAAGGGCGCCATCGCCCGCTCCTGCGGCGTGGGCGGGGGGGGGGTCCTGCAGACCTCCCCCCGCGCTCCGCACGCTCCTGGTCGGCCGCGGGAGCGGAGGAGGGTGGGAGGGGGAGGAACAGCGAGGGAAGACGTGAGGAGGGGGGGGGAGGGCGAGCATGAGGGGGAAGGGTGTGAGGAAGGAATGGGGGGGGGAGGAGGAGGAGGAGGAGGAGGAGGGGATGAGGAGGATGGAGGGGAGGGAGGAGGAGGAGGAGGAGGAGGAGGGAGGAGGAGGCAGGAGGAGGAGGAGGAGGAGGAGGAGGAGGAGGAGGAGGAGGAGGAGGAGGAGGAGGAGGTGGAGGAGAGGAGGAGGAGGAGGAGGAGGAGGAGGAGGAGGAGGAGGAGGAGGAGGAGGAGGAGAGGGAGGAGGAAGAGGAGGAGGAGGAGAGGAGGAGGAGGAGGAGGAGAGGAGGCGGAGGAGGAGGAGGAGGAGGAGGAGGAGGAGGAGGAGGAGGAGGAGGAGGAGGAGGAGGAGGAGGAGGAGGAGGAGGGAGGAGGAGGCAGGCAGCGATGAAAGAAGTGTCAGGGTCACTGACACCCCCCAGCAGGAGCGTGAGAAGCCAGGCAGGTGGGACATTGGCCACCCGTGCCCAGCTCTTATGTGCCGAGGCTCGGCCACCATCTCAGCGGAAATGTAGGCTGAGAGTGGCGAGGCGCAGCACACGCATCAATCGAACGACAAGGGTTCGCCCGATCGGGGATGCAGGCCCCTAAGGACCCTAGAAATATTGCTCTCCTCGTTGGCCCGCGTTGAGGCCACGGGAGAGTGGCCTTTACAGGCCTTCGTCGTAAGTTTCGGATTTCGACCACCATTAATCGAAAAGGCCCCGCAGGCTAAACAAATAACGGCGGGGCCGAATCGTTCGGCGGGATGTCCGAGAGAAGTGCACACCTCCACCACCCCATCAGCAGCAGCAGCGGCAGGCAGCACACCTCCTTCCTCCTCATGGAACGGGCCTCCTGCGGCCTCGACCGCCACCTGCACCGACGGTGTCGAGTCTGACACGTAGTGCTGGGGGGTCAAACGGAAGAAGCGCTCCGCAGTGGCCCGATGAAGGGCCGAGGGAGCGCAAGCCGAGTTTCGCAAAAAACGATAGGACAGGGCAGTGCGAGCGAAACGATTGCACGACGAACACCTGTACTCTGAGATAGCTTTACAGAACATCATCGTGTGAGATGTGACAGAAAGCGAAGGAGCGGGGGTGGCCTTGCGGGGCGCTGGGGCGTCGGCAGCTGGCTGCAGCTGCTCCGCCTTCCGCGCGGCCGCCTGGACCATCCAGGCAAAGGCCTCGCCGTCCTTACGAGCGACCTGCAATCTGGATTTGTGCACATCAACGAGGACCTGCGCTACTGCATGGGACTGCGAGCCCAATTTTGCAAAATAATCGGCCCATTCGTTTCCGACGAAATCAAAAACTTCGGCCGCCCCAAGGGGCAACACGTCGTCCAGGGAGCGATGGGCGCTCGTCCAGCGAAAGATGGGAGGCTCCGACTGCCCGATCTCGTGCCTGATCTGCCTCCAAATAAACGCCTGACGGGAAGCACCTGATTCACACAAAGAAGAGAGCTGCCGACCAGTCTTCACCAAACTAAGATGATCAGACACAATCTCTGCTGGGTGCGCTGCGATCTGGATGGCTCGTAGGGCAGCATAATGTTCCGCCCTCGGGACGGTCTGAAGCCTACCTGGAAGCGGGCCGTAGATCGCTCTGACTACACAGCCAGA